GGGGTGAGGCGTGGGGGGGGGGGGGGGGGGGGTTACCGCAGGCGTACGCCTCGCCAAAGGGACGAGCATAAATTTCGGGATCAACATGGCTCTTGTGCATCCTCTGTTGTCCCAGTTTCGCCCGGTGCTCTGGTACAAAGTCACTGGGCAGCTGGATATCGGTGAAGACGGCAAACGGTGACACCTCCGCGTCATAAACGACACTATGTGCTCGCAAGCCTTCCACTTTCGCTCGCGGCAATAATCGTCCTGTCCATGGGCCGGCAGTGACCACAATATCAGTTGCATCTCTAATGTCCCGCATCTTCCCAGTGCTTCTATCCAGGTATTCAACCCTTTCCACGGCGGTTTTTGACGTTACAACTCTGGTCACCTTTACATCCGTCCGAATCTCAACACCAGCCTGTTTCGCTAATTCGCCAATCGTGGTGGTAAAGTGAAACGGGTGAACTTGGGACGTCTCTGTGGTTCCCGGGCCGCCCATCTCAGCCCAGCTCGTCACCAGGTCTCGATCCACCCAATCGAGAGCTTTGGGCAGTATCCCCTCGTCCAACAACTCTTGTGCCGCCTCGTCTTGCTTTGGTAGCTTTTCCCATCGCTTCTCCCCATCTGTGGAGAGTTGGGGCTTGTTGGGCTTGTTGAGCTTCTTCCGTGAGACGACCGCCTCAAAGCTCCCGCACTGTAGCTTTCGATAGCCCCATTTTTGCGCGCCGTTGTGCTCAGCAGCCAACTCTGCGTGTAGCTTATAGGAAAGAGGCACTATGCAGGCAGGATATGCCCACAGCGCTAGCAAACCACCAGCTTTGCCAGAAGCGCCGCATGCAAGCGACGGGCCAGCTTCGAGAAGAGTTACTGTATGTATAGCCGGGTTAAACTTTGGATGGCGAGTGAGGTAATAGGCTGTTGTGCAGCCAATTATGCCTCCGCCTAGGATGCTTGTCAGAGTCGTTCATTAACGGACGGGCGGCTGCGGTTGCGGCTGCCACTGCGGTGGCGGTGATGGATGTGTGTCGCGTGTATCACGTACCGATAATGACTATATTGCGCTTGCCGTCCATGGATGTAGTTCTCAAGCAACGTTGGGTGTGATCTGGGACTTGGACACTGCACAAGGACGTTAACCGCTCGGCACGGCAGATGTCTGGCAGGTGGTGGTGGATCGATCGATTGGCGGAGCCTGGCGTGAACGGTTATCAATCATCGACGATGCTAAGCCACGTCTACCCTTGACTGTTCGTGCACATGTGTTATGTGCCTATGACGCAAGCGGGGGCGGGGGTTTGCGTCTCCGATGGCTTCTATTGTCCCTCTTCAAAGCGACTCGAGCAACGCAGTTCTGAAGAGTTACTCAAGGTTAACCTGGCGTCGGAGAGACGTTGAGACGTTTAGCGTTGGCATGCATTACTCCATGCTATCTGTAACATCAACGTGCATCAGAGATTACTTATGTACGCATTGTCACAGGTGCACAGGTCCCGGAGTAATGGCGCAATCCAAGTGCAAGCGCATCCAATCATCAGCCCACAACCCCTTATGCCAGTAGGGAAAAGCCCCGAACAATACGGGGCTATCCTCCAATGTTATCCTTTGTTGCAGACCACCATTCTTCCGCACAATCTGAAGTCGGCTTGCGGAACAATCAGTCCCCGAGTCCCCAGGATCGAGCTTGCATCGCCCCGCCGCCGCCAACTCGCCGTACTGAGGGGGATGAGAGATGGATGTCAGGTACCTCGACTATTCAGACAATCAACGTCACAGCCTGGAGCCAACCTAGACCCGCTCCATTTCTCTCGGAACGGGATCTGCCGAGGCTTTTGTTTGTTACGCTCATCAACCGAAAAAAAGGAAAAAAAAAGTCTGCCAATTTGTAACTTCAAAGTATCAAAGCGCATGGGATCGTTTCCCCACCATCATCAATCCAGTCGACAAAAGTAGCCTTGTGCCTCCCCTCCTGTCTCTGGTTCGCCCTCGTCCCATGCTGTCTAGATGAATCGGCCCATTTGTCATCGCGCACCTCAACTCCACTCGATTGCTCGAACCTCCCTCGCAATCCGGCCTCGTTCGCCATTGTCCATCACTGCTCCCAGCTATCCCGTCTGCAGCATCTCTCGACCGCTGGCACCACAGTCCGCTGCGCAACCGTCTCTCGTAATTCACCAGACGCCTCGCGCATTCTCAATTATGGCTTCTGCAACTAGCTTCTACGACTTCAAGCCGCTCGACAGTTTGTCCATCTATCCGAGTCCAAGATGCCGCACCAACCTTGCCATTTGCTAACCATAGTTTCACTGTGTAGAGCGCGGCCAGGAGGTCCCTCTCGCTGACTACAAGGGCAAGGTCGTCCTCATCGTCAATACCGCCTCCAAGTGCGGCTTCACTCCTCAGTACGAAGGCCTCGAAAAGATTTACAAGTCCATCAAGGACAAGTACCCTGATGACTTCACCATCCTTGGCTTCCCCTGCAACCAGTTTGGTGGCCAGGAGCCCGGCACCAATGATGAGATTCAGAAGTTTTGCCTCGTCAACTATGGCGTCAGCTTCCCCATCATGCAGAAGATTGATGTCAATGGCGACAAGGCCAGCGACTTGTACGAGTGGCTCAAGGCCGAGAAACCCGGTTTGATGGGCCTCAAGCGCATCAAGTGGAATTTCGAGAAGTTCCTAGTTGGTCGCGATGGCAAGGTCAAGGGTCGCTGGGCTAGTACTACCAAGCCCGAGTCACTCGAGAAGCCCATTCTCGACGAGTTGGAGAAGTCGGCAGGACCGGCAAACTGATGTCTTGCGTACTTGCTGTATGGAAAGGTTGTTAATTAATATGACATCTGAATTTGGACCCTTTGCACCTCGAATCCGGCTCGGAGGGAAAACGTACCTGACGCTTTCCATCGTGTCAAGCACATTGTCAGATTTGCTAGAATTATCTCGATATACAGTAGTGATGGACTATCCATGGCGCTGTACCCCAGCGGAAGCTGGCCGGATTACTGCCGTAGCCGTATAATTTTCGTGCTCCAAGTTGAGGCTAATGCCGCCGGCCGAAAACAACAGCTATACCACCGAGGTTTTTTTTTTGCGCTTTGCTGCAGTCTTATCCTGACCGACTGTAGGCCCTGATGAGCCACAGCACTCATAGTGGAGGAATGTTTGAAGGGCTGATTACAATGTTGAAGGTGAAGGCGCGAAGAAACAGTGCATTGGAGGCGGCAGATGAAGAAGCCAAGTTTAAAGGATACCTGAACTATGGCAATGTTTTCCTAACCCTAATGTAACCTCTACTACGTTGGAAATATGGCGATAACGTACGCTCCCGAATATATCTTGCTTAATAATAAAATAACTGGTCCTCGTAAAGCTATTGACCGGAGACTTTTACTTCCCACGAGCCATCACACGCATCTCGTAGCCCAAAGCCACGTTCGTATCTTTGCTCGAGGACTTTGATGAAATCTCCGTAAAGCTATTCGTTTGCTTCTCGAGAACCTTGTTGCCTGATTCATTACTCCTAATGCTAACCACGATTTTGCTTAGTCTGAGAACAAGCCCCATGAGGAATGGGGGTCGGAGGAATATATGGTCTGAGAATTCAGCCCCATTTGGGATGGCCAGGTTGATAATGATGTCCGAGTCTATGGGCCATTTCAGTTTTGGTACGCTCAATCAGGCAAGCTAAGAACTGTTTAACATAAGTTACATAACCCAGATACATAGTGAACCAACGCAAGGAGTCCTGCCACAGATGTTATTCCTGTCATTTACGCCAAATTATTGACATGAATACGGAGCACCCATGCATAGATTTGTAGAATCATAGCCAGCGTGTCAAGAATGAGGTGAACCGATATCACGGCGGTGCTCAACAACGAGGCGAAAGGGCGCGGTCACCGAGAAACAAAAGGCGACCAGGCTACGGGCTCGTGGTCCAAATGCTTACTCGGACAAGTAGCAACTCCACCGACCATGTCATTAATTGTTAAACTGAGTCACATTATGCCAATAGGGCCCTATTCCGCCGCAAGCTGACGTCGCACGGCAGCTGGTGGCTTGACCGAAAAGGATACGAGAATTTCCCGACCGGCTAAAGATAACTGTTGTCCAGCCTACGCCTTCCATTCCGTTAATAATCTCAGTCCTGAGCGACCACGCCGAGAGGCAACGAAAAAGAAAAGAACGGTGTCTCGACACCTCGGCACGTATCTGGGTGGCTTCAGAACATCAAACGCCTCATCGAGCACCAATATATCACGCCTACATGACAGAGGGTACTCACATACAACATCATACGTTCATAAATGCGAAAGCCTGTCAGACAGTATCTCATCTCTACAGCGAAAATTCTCTACTGTCAAACTGTCTCTTCCGGCAGATTGGACAAACTCGACGTGGTTGTATTTGTCGCTTCGTAGAGACTAAACGAACCCTGCTCAACTGTAACAACATGGTGAAAAATGTCGGCTAAATTGCAACTGACGCTGTCCCAACAGTCAAACAGTGGTCGAGATGGAGCAGCCAAAATTTGAGTTGGGGTCCGACGCGGTACAACAACACCGGGCGGATAGAGAAGCCTTGCGTAAGATTTTGAGGCTCCGGGATGTGAGTCTTGAGACAAAAGACCGGCCCCCTGTACCGTGAGACCGGTGAGGCTCTCCTGGTCTCGCTGGAGTCACGAATAGAAACGGGCAGTGACGTACTGTGCCCCAAGACTTTGAGACTCAAGCATTTATTAAATGAAAAGGATCAATTCGCAAGCATTAATGACCGTTATCTCTTGCTGCGTAGTGCAAATATGGCCCATTGCGAAAACTTGTCAGTTTCTTCGACAGTCAACACAACGCAGGAGAGTGATTGTGCTGGATCTTCAGTGGGACTACTATACTAACCGGCTTCTTCATCTCTTGTATTCTGTATTCGTTGTCCCACCTTCTGCTCCGGAACTATCCAAGCAAGGATTCCCTTTACAAGATCCCCAAAGGACCAACCGGTTTCCCATTTGTCGGTGAGACATTCACATTGAGCCTGCCTTGGATCGATGAAGATGAAGGCCAGGACTGACAATACTTGCTACACAGGATCCTTTCCGTTTCTGACTCACTATCCTGAACTTACCCTCGACAAATGGGCTAAGCGATTCGGTGACTTATACTCTGTCTGGCTTGGTCAACAACTTGTTGTCGTGATTTCCAGTCCAGATGTTGCCAAAGATCTCATGGTGACAAGGGGCGCAATCTGCTCCTCGCGCAAAGACATGTACATCAAGAGCCAATGTGTGTTTGCCGGGCGGGGAATCACGGTCACGCCGTACAACGATATGTGGTAGACCACAGCGCTTAGTCCTCTGATCTCCGACGGAAAGGAAAACAAGACTGACGGAAAGCATGGTTGAATACATAGGCGGAAACACCGTCGTATCGCAAGTGCCTGGCTGCACCAGAAGGCGGTTGACAAGTTCAGTTCTGCCTTTGACAGAGAGGCTACTGACATGGCCAACTGCCTCCTGGAAGCAAGTCATGGTGGCTGCTCTCTCGTCAATCCCCAGCCATTTGCTGGCCGGTGCTCCCTCAATGATATGTTGACAATCGTGTTTGGTGCAAGGACAGCTTCGGTGCAAGATCCGCTCGTGTCGACGGCACTGCGACTTGCCCGCGAGTTCATGTAAGTCAAGTCATGTCGACTCAAAAACACAACAATGTGATTCTCACTTGTCCTCTTGTAGGAATGTTACAGGTCCCTTGTCTAATCTCATCAATTTCCTGCCCCTGCTAGAACATTTCCCGTCCTAATTTCGTTCTCGTAGCCAAAAGTTACACCACCTGGTCAAGACGTACGGGGACATGATTGAAAGCATCCATCGGCGTTGGAGCCGCGGACAGGAGGCTCCGGATTGTCTCGCTACAGCCCTGCTTACCATGCGCGAGGAAGAAGAGCTGGATGATTTGGACATGGTCATGATGGCCTCGGCCTTTATGATTGGTGGTGTGGAGAGTGTACGATGACTTCTTGTTATTTTATCCAACCCACGTACTTGGAATTGGAGTTGACACATGAATTAACACTCGGCAGACGGCATCTATCACGCAGTGGTTCCAAGCACTCATGCCGTCGTACCCGGAAATCCAGCGCCGCGCCCAAGACGAGTTGGACCGTGTTGTCGGAAGAGATCGTCTGCCCGAGGCCGAGGATGAAATGAACCTCCCGTACTGTCGGGCCATTATTAAAGAAGTCGAGCGATGCTATAATCCCTTTTAGCTGGGAACTCCGCACGTGGCTTCCGAGGACTTTGTTTACAACGGACAGTTGATCCCAAAGGACACGGTTCTGGTCCTAAACACATGGACTATACACCACGACGAGGGTCGTTTTCCGGAACCGGAGCAGTTTAATGTATGTGGGAAAACGTTGTGCTGCATATTCTGAATCCCCATGCTGCAATACCGCTTTATTCTAATGTCTGCGACAGCCCGATCACTACGTCAACGACAGCCTTTCGTCTGCACAGAGCTCGAAATTGAGCGACGCCGACCAGCGCGACCACTGGATGTTTGGTGCTGGGCGGCGTATCTGCCCAGCTATCTTGGTCGCCGAGCGCGAGATCTTCCTGGCCATCTCGCGCATCCTGTGGTCTTTCACCATGGAAGCTGAGCCTGGACACCCTGTTGACCTGAAGGAATACGATGGCCTTTCGGGCCGGTCACCCCTGCAAGATTCGCTTGAGGGTTAGAGACGATAATGTTGCTAGAGTGTTGAAAGATGCCACGGAAGGGGATCTTGTGTCTTGTTTGAATATAGAGGTTGAGTCGCTAGGCGCATGACCTCGGGGGCTTATTGCTCTGTGCCAACCCCGGAAAAGGGCTTCGATTGTATGTGTCTTTTTTACTTTGTCGATTCCGAGACGTCACTCTTTCTCTTGATGTTTTTAGCACTTTGGCCTCGTCATTTTGTCAGATGCCTGGTACGCATTACCAGATACCGGGAGTCTCTCTTGTACAAAAGCGTGTCATTTTTTCATTTTAAAAAAAAAGAAAGATAACTGAGGGCGCTACGTCATTTTCAACTACTGCTTAGACCTTGAGTGCTTAGATGAAATTTATCTTGTGATGTGTAGGGATATTATACTCTGTTTAACTTTTCATACTGTCTCGTTTTGCATGTGTGTACATGGTTCAACTTGGTGTAATACATGTGCCTGGCCTTTTTTCCTCTGTGGATGATATGCCAGCGGGATGTACTGGATGGGCATCGGGGTCTGGTTAACGACTTGCATACCCGATAGCAAAAAAAAAAAAGGAAGGAAAGAAAGGAAAAACATAAAGCACTCTTTGCGCCTTCAATGATTATCGAGGCAACATGTCAACCACATTCACCTCAACCACGGCTCTCTGCTTACTATAGTCTGTGGGGTTTGGGGGAACATTGAACTCGACTTGACATTCACGCCGAGTGAGCCACAACTCCTGCTCTGGGCATTACCGCATTCACATTTCAATGTGGCCCTGATCTTTCGCAGTCCGGGCCGTCTCAGTTGATTTGAGAGGTTTGGTAGTCAACGCTGCCCCTCCTAGGTCTGTTAGTTCTAGCCTGGTACTGCAATCATCGATTGCCTTGTCTTCTCATCTTCCCATGTTCCCATCTTCTTACTACACATGGGACTCGGACAGCGAAGTCTGGCAGCCCATGATCAAGTCAACGACATCTCCAGCCAACCACCAAGCCCAGTTTTCCGCCGTCACCACGCTGGCTCTGTACAGCTGGAACATTGGCTTCATGCTGCCATTCGCCGAAGCACGAATGAGTGCTTCATTGGCTCACCTCGAGGAAGTCACCAAACAGCTCGCGTCCACAACGGCCGTTGCCACCAACCTTCAAGAATGCCATCCCTCCGACCTCGTCAACATCAGCCAAAAGCAATGGGCCCAAGAGAGGTTCCATATGGCCGCAACGTACCCGCACCTGGATGAGGAACTAGCGGGTGCCATCATCGCCGGCGACTTCAACGCCATCCAGCCTTTCGACGCCACCCTCCACTCAAACAACGACCTCAAGGATGCCTAGCTCGAGCTCGGTGGCCAGGAGGGCGGCGAGGACGGCTTCACCTGGGGTCAGCAGGCGGCGCCGGCCTTGCGCGATCGCTTTGGCTGTTCACGGATGGACAAGCGCGTACTTTTGCGGCCGCGGTATTAAGTTGCAAAGCCTCGAGAGGTTCGGTGCCGACGTCGACGTTGTCCAAGGCCAGGAGAGGCAGAAGGATGAATTGCTCGCCCTCGGCTTCGGGAAGGCTTGGGTTACCGACCACCTGGGCATCAAAGCCACATTTAGCATCATGAACGATGCTCGTTTTGTAATAAATTGCAGGCACATCCACTTGAGAAGAACATATCCCAAGCAGGATGCCGCAAGGACTAGAGCAACCTGTGTTGGATGGAGCTACTGACCTACACAGCTCAGCTAGGTACACACACGGTAACTAATGTAACGGTTGTGATGATTGCTTGGCCCACAGGCTCCCAGCCTTCGGATGATTCTACCTCTTGCCGTCAACTTCTCCAACGTGCAAGGGGTGGCGTAGTATTTTATAGAAAACCAACCATACATTGTTGAAGGTGGAGAATCAAGAGCGTTCATTTTGTATTGGCTGTCATTAAGAACCACGCGTGCTGTGTGCTAGGAACATGGGTTGCCGCATCGTCGGCCATTGCAGATTCTGGCTGCTGCCGATTCGTAAATCATGATGACTAGGTCAACGGGTCTTTGACTGAAGGAGATGCCTTGTGGAAACAAACGATGGCGACTTGCCTAAAGGCACAATCTCCCAATGGATACTTCCTTCTATATATAGTTAACAGCTGCGAGACCAACTCGACATCCAAACTTGAAGCCTCATCGAGAGACTAACAATCCACACTGCAGCAAACTCGCGAGGTTGGAAACTCGGTAAACGCCACGACAAAGTGAAGTACCGCCGCCACCCATTCAGCCTCTCCTCTTTCCGGATATTCGCGATCAAAAAGCTTTACAGGGTGCGTGATGAACTAGCGACAGTCAGCTCATCTTTCCCACAAGTGATGCAGCGTGAAGCTATGAGGCTGGTGAATGAGACGGCGATCCATAAAAGCTGTTCGCAACGAGCATGCGATTTGGGCCCAGGAGCGACTGCTGATCATACTGCAAGGTGTAAAGACCTAAATAACCATTTTGCCATTGATGCTGCACTGATGTCTGGATCCCTGGATGATGGCTGTCCTTATTCGGTAGAGCATCAAGCTCAAAAGTCAGATACTTGAACCAGTGCTCTGAGTCATGTGCAGTCGACAAAAGTATCAAGTGATAAGCAGCTATTTGGATCCCAGGAGCTAACAAGAGAAAAGACATTGAAGCGCCGTTTTAATAAGAGCCTCTTCTGTGCTGCTTGTGGGCACACTCGGTACAATGATATCGGGTGACAGTTTCTAGTCTAGAGGGGAAAAGCGATGATGCGTCTGATACGATTGAAAAGCCATTGAAAAGCCATTCAAATATTGGCACATTGCATAGGGTTTTGTCCAACTTGGCCTCAACCCGCAAACCCCGATAGCGGGGACCTTTGGGCCGTTCAATTCCGGGAGTCTCGGGCCAGTCGTCCGCATGTGGCCCCACTATCACGCGGGGCGCGGAGCATTCGGATAAGCGATCCCGGAAGTGTTCCGGGCATAACCTGACACGATAATAAACTCTGTTTCTCCATCCATTTCCTTATTGCTGTCGCAGGCTCTGGATGCATTCAATTACTCGGTCTTTTGCGTCCGAATACTATTGTGCAGTCCGTCTAGAGATGGTTCCATCGATCATCAAGTGAATGCAGTGACTTGCTGCATGATTTAAACGACATGATGCCATTATTCTTGCCCTCTAAGTGGTTTGCAACTTGAAACAGCCCCAAAAATTTCAGTCTAGGTCTCCGCGACCAAGTCTTTGCCAGAACCATAGGCGACAGTCACTTATTTGACAATTCAGTGCAAGAAGCTACATGGTGAAGGCAATTACCACTCCTACCAGCGCAGACCATAGTAGCCCCGAGCGATTTCTTACGTTTTGGAATGTAGGGTTGTTATCGAGCCACATGCACAATGGAATTGGAAGCTTTTCGAGGCAGATGATGATGATCCCCATCACAATGCTCATGTCAATGCCATATCACAAAGTGGTCGTAATGAATGTTGAAGAGCGAGCTTGTCAACAGGCACCAGCACTGGCCTAGTTTCTACAAGAGGCTGCGATGTAGCTTCCCTCTTTACGGCGTGTTCATGGCGTGAAAGAAGACTCTTTGCTTTGGGAATACTGACAAGGCGGACTTTCCAAAAACTCATCGCGAATGGGTCCATGCTAGCCATGCTGGGGTCCAGGTTGCACGTGCGCCTGAAGTAGTTCGCGCCACCGCCCACCGCCCACCGCCCACATGGCACACAACCTCTCCTGAAGTACCCACAAATATTTGCCCCCATGGATTGTTTTCCATTTGCCGCAAATAGAGCTTCCCGAGACATGGACAAAGCGATTGCTATTCTGCGCTCCTTGGCTTGACCCAAGAGGCATTAAGACAGTGGCATGTTCCATGTGCACACTCATGTTCTATTTAAAACCGAAACTACGCACTACATCCCCCCCAAGTATCCCGGAAATAGTTCCCTGTGGCGGCATCAGCATCATCTATTGCAGCCACTGAGAACAAAACACAGGCGTCCAAACGTACCCAACTTTAACGTTAATTTTAAGACGGGAAGCACCAGACTTTGTTTAAACCCGTGCCCCCGTGCCCACAATCGGCCTGCCTCTTCTGTCCCGGAACCAATGGCCGGCCCACTTTTTTGTTTACAACCTGGCGCTTTGACTGGCAACCCGATTTGCTTGCCGCCCACAACTCTCGCAAGGCGTCCCTGTCGATCGCGATCAAGAGCGGCCAACTCATGGGGCAACACGAAGATCCTTGTCCTTTGGGTGAGCCGACGCCCGACCCAGCTTGAACAGGCAGTGATTCGCCAAGTGCGCGCTATTCTCGGACTACTGACATCAAAGGCCCCTGTGCAAGATTATCGCTTTCTTCGGACCTCCCCTCCACCCCAAAACCGGCGAGGGACCATGGCAATTAGCCATGGCTTGGGTTTTGGAGAAGGACAGGACGGGATATGGGGAATTGCTGGTTCGTCGTCACAACCCGGTTCCTTGACGAATGTGGTGGTGGTTAAGATTTTCAACTGAACAGGAAACAAACCAAGACGGGGCCCGTGATTTAGCTCGCCGAGTCTGAAACAAATGGCTTTCGTTGTTAAGCTTGAGTTGTCCCCGTCCTCTCCACACCTTGCTGGGGCTCAACTCTCGAAGCTGAACAAACAAGATGTCATCTCGAGATCATGTCTTCCGTCAAGCCATGACGCGACGACCTGGCTTGGCTGTACAGACATTTGGGGGACCACGGGTGCGCACCTCGTGTGTATATTGATGGCCACGGGATGGCAAATAGCTTCTGGGGGTAGGATGAATGCTGCAGAACAGGGCAGATTTTAAACACACATGGTCTCAATTAGCGCCCATTGTTCTCTTCCACAGAGAGAGCCTCTTTCGGTCCGCCAAAGAGACAATTCCGGGTTACGGTCGGCAACGGCTCTCCACATGGCTGGCGCCTAATCTGCAAACCCTACACCACTCGGACCAAACAGTGCGTTTCGACGCCGCTCTTCATTGTCCGCCAGCGGCGGATTGGTGCCGTGCGTACGGAGTAATTGGGCTCTTGTTGCCGCCTTGTACGTCGAGTTCTGGAACCCCTGTCTTCCGCTTCCTTGGATGCCATGCAGTTGATCGCTTTTCCTAATCTGTATGCATTTCACCAGGAGAGTTCCCTCATCGGGATGTTAGCTCGCAAACCCATCTTTTCAGAATGAACCCGCAAATAGAAAGAACGCGCGGTGATGTTCCGTTCGCGAAGCCTCTGCGCCTTTTCATCTGTTGCTCTTTTTCTTTCTCTCCCTACTCCCCCCTCCCCTTGTCCTAGCGGTCTTGAACCACTTTCTTTCCTTCAACGTATACATTCTTTCCTTGCAAGCCGTTGTTTTCTTCGTTTTGTTTTGGAGGTGGAAGTCTTTCTTTTTATTCCTTGTGTATAAGACCTACACGTTGTTACCCGGTCACTCTTTTTTTCTGCCGGCGTACGAATAGGAGGTTGCTTAAACGCAGGAACCGTCATGATGTTGTCCTCTCTCTTTTCACTTGCGGCTCTGCCCCTGGCGACACAGGCCTTGGCCGAATTCCCCGTGGATAATCGAATGGTACAGGAGCCTGGTCTGATTCGGTTTCCGCTTGACATCGCTGCTGGTGCTCCAACCAAGAACAGAATGCCCAAACGTCAAAACGAAATCGGCGTCAATGCCGAGAAATCGGGCTTCTTTTACTCCATTGAACTGCAGGTCGGCACCCCTGCTCAAGCTGTGAGAGTCAACTTCGACACTGGTTCTGCCGAGCTCTGGATCAACCCTGTGTGCAGCAAATCTACAGACCCCGGCTTCTGTGATAAACTTGGCCGTTTCAATGGCAGTCAGACTTTTGTCGATACCAACACAACTCATGAGATTCGATATGGGACTGGCTTTGCCAAGCTCGAATACGGCTACGACTACGTCCAGATTGGATCTGCCAAAATCAGCCAGCAGATGTTTGGTGTTGCTACTGATAGTGAGTTTGCTAGTGCTGGTATCCTGGGTGCTGCTCCTCAGTTGAAGGGCTGGAAGAGCGATTACCCGCTGGTTCTGGACAACCTGGCGGCTCAGGGTTTCATCAAGAGCCGCGCTTTTTCTCTCGATATCCGCTCCATTGCAAGCAAGCGAGGCTCCGTCGTGTTTGGTGGTATCGACACCAAGAAGTTCTCCGGTCACCTGGAGAAGCGACCGATTATCCCCGCCACCGAGTCCCCCGACAAGCTCACACGCTACTGGATTTATCTCGACGGCGTCTCGGTGACCAAGGAGGACGGCTCCAAGGCGGTGATATTTGACCAGGCCAATGGTCAGCCCGTTCTTCTCGACAGC